GCAAGTGGTGGAAGCTCTACGACGTAAACAGCATCTCCAACAGCATGGCTTGTGAGTCCTGGTTCATTGCTGTGGATGACTGCTTTGTACCCATCGGCTCCAGCAGTATACTCAACTCTCCTGTAGACTCCAATGGGATCCAGGTATCCGTAATTACCCTTGACTACTCCAGTACCATCAGCAACTTCACGACGATGTTGTGTCATGCCCAGACCATCTCCAAACTCATATCCATATTCGTAGGGTTTTGGGGGTTCTTGAGCTGGCAGAACTAAATTTTGAGCTAAAGGTGCTACTCGGACTATTGCTGGTCTAGCTACGGCACAATAGAATAAGCTGAAAACAATGGCTATAACGAGATGAGACATCTTGTGATGTTAAAGTGTTCAGGTTGTTGATTGGAACTTTGGGGAACGACTGTAACAAGTTTGGACTCGATCTGCTTTTATAACTAAGAAAGTTTAAGGAATATTTGGAAAATGCTCGCTGACCCATAAATGTTTGTAAATAATTCATTTGGTGAATTTTAAAAAATCTGTAGAATTTATCTAATACATGATGGCTTTTTAAATTTAAAGCTTAGTCTTTAAGAATCTGGATAAGCTATTTTTGGGTGTGTCAGCAACATATCTTACGAAAAACCTTCTGTTCATTGATATATAAACCGGACAAGGCTTTCTCATTTTTGTTTTTGTTAAATTAAAAAAAAAATCCTTAATTCTTCTACTCTATATGTATTTTTTGAGGAAATACATCTTAAATGTATTTTTTTGTCTTTTTTTCTTCCAAACTCAATGAATTGTCTTCTGAAACAATTATTCCAAGTTAAGTGTCGAACAAGAAATGTTTTTTTTTTCGTTTTGTCATCACACCGCTTATTAAGCTGTTTTTAGTTAGTTAGTGAGCTTTATCGGTTGAATACCTTCTTTAATGTAATGAAATTATAATTGAAAATAAGACGAATTGCATTTTTTTAAGGTGCATCACTGCATAAAATGCATTATTATAGTTGAATTTCTTTTTTTAGTAAAATTATTCGATCGTAATTGACACCTTATGTCTAATATTAAGAAGACAAAAACGTATTCAAAGTTTCAGTTAAAGTCTATTTATCAGCATTAATATTAAAAATTATACATTGATTCCATTATGTCTAGATCAAAGGTGTCAAACTCAATTTTGCAGAGGGCCATATATTAAATATAGAATGTGTAGGCGGGCCAGATTCAAATAAAAAAAATGTACTGAATTATTATAACATTTTATTTATTTAATTATATAGTATATAACATACGGCTGTTAAAAATCATATCAAAGTTATGAAAGAGGGTAATTATTTTGAACTCGAGGATCCAGATACCTGACTTTTCTTGTTTTTGATAAGCTCATTGATGTCCGGTTTCATATTTGTTGTAATTATTTTAAGAATTGATTGGAGATATTCATTCGTAAGTCTTGTGCGATGTTTGTTCTTATTGTTTGTTCGTATCTAGAGTCTAGATGCATCCTTACAGGATAATGCTTATTAAATAACTACAAATATTTTCAATTCATATTTTTCATAGATATGAAATGCATGATTTGAATTTAAAGATTAGTCTTTAAAAATCTGGAAACCTACATTATATTATTAGGTCCATGATTTTTTTTCCATTTTAAAATTATAATGAAATAAATTCCCGACAATTACTAAATTACTGAAATTTAAAATATTAAAACAATTTCAACGATTCAATCTAAACAATTTATCCGATTTGATTTAAGAAAGCAAGTGAACATCCCTAAAATTTGCATAATTAAATCCTCTTGAAGTAAGAAGGTGGTGAAAAATATAGGTTTCATAATGTGTTAGTTCGTAAAATAATATTTAATGTGCAAAACAACCAAATTGAAAAATTGAAAAATTTAAATTTCGAAATTATGCATGGTTATTAACGACCTCGAGATGTCGTAATGTTTTTTCTCTTTTTTATTTTAGTTCATTTTCTAGCTAACAATTTCTTTTTTTCTTTTGCATTAGAGTATCAAACCTAACTCGATTTAATTTTTTTAAATATCTTAATTACATAATAATTTTTTAACTACTTATTTACTGCAGCATACACTGTTAAAATTCTCATTCTAAAAGTACGGTAAAATAACCAACTGCAGTCTGTCGATCCAAATAACCGAAAAGATTATGGTAAAGGATATTTTTCCCCTTTACCGTATTTTTAACCATTTACAACTAGCATGGTTTAAAAACCGTAAAAAAGAAATTTAATTAGACATAGGAACTTGGCTTTCCGTTACGGAATGGGAATTGGAGAGTGTAGGACACTAGAAACTCTTCTTATGTTGAACGGAATAGAAATATTGTGGTGTACACGCTGGGATTCGAACCCCAGTTCTGTCGGCCATGACAATGACGGATTAACCTTTTCAACTGTAATATAGACGAAGTTGAAAGGAACTAAGTGGCTTCCTTAGGTGGGCTTAGTTGGTGCCATAAAATTCCGTTTGTTGAAAGATATTAGGTGAAAGCAGTTAATAAACAATGTCTTTTTCACAGTTTGATTACTATCCTATTTACGGTTATTTGACTGTTTCGTTTGAATATGGTAAAATAAAACTTAAATAAATTGTAATTTAACCATTTTTTCAGAGAAATTTCTAACAGTGTTAGCCGTTAGCAATTCCACCTATACTTTAAATTTTATATATTTCTGATTTTCAACAATATGTTAAATTTTTTTCTTTCCAGTTTTTTATGGGCATGTAATGGGTTGAACTTTATTCAAGGTATATTTTAAGGCCTATATAATTTAAAATGTTTCTTAATCTTTAACATGAAATGATAGTGAATATTAATAAACTGTTTATATAATGGAGAATGTTGGAAAGAATTTTCTTTTTTCATTTTTAAGATTCAATTATTTTAAATTTTTAGGGATAGGTAGCAATTTCATGAAAATTTACCTTAAGTTAGAAGTAAAATACGTCTGAAATTAAGACTATTTATTGTTGACTGTTTTGTAATTATTTTTAAATTGATTCACTTATTGCCAAAAATAAAGAACATCAACTACTATTATCTAAAAATTTTAGTAAAAAAAAAATGCTTTAAGAAATTAAAACAAACCTAATATGAAAAAAAACCCCGGAATTTTCTGAGCTTATTAACGGTTAAATTTGCCTTTGTGGAGAATTATTTTAGTGAAAAACTAATCTATATTTGTCGCACATGCAATAGAAAACCAATAAAATCACCGATGGCTAACACGACGTCAATGAAACTCTTAACCTGGATTTATGTACCATTAGAGGTAATTTATGCCTTCACAACAACAAGTAGTTTATAAATTAATCTGCTATAATTAGGGCTTAAATCTGAGTCGGCGGAAGCGGTAACTATCTTATACCCGTTGATAAAAGTTTAGTAATTTTATGAATATGAAGATTTGCTTCATGATGTCTTAGCGATTTTTTGCCCCTAGGAACTGAATGTTCTTTATTTAAATTCGTTTAAATAATATTTTTAACAACAATGATAATAATAATAGATTGAAAAAAATAATTTTATTATCGTATGAGTTCGTAACTTGCTTGTTATTTCTGCTGTTTCAGAGATTTTTTTTTCTGTCAGTTTTAAAAATATATTTAATAAATTTAACCTGGTGTTCTAAACAACTGAAAAAAAGATTTTCTCGCATATCTCGAAGAAAATAATAATTGAAAATAAAATTGACATTGCACTTTAAGAAATGCAGTATAATAATTCTTTAGATTTTAATGTTTTAACACAATGCTTTTAAATTGATTTTTTAATGAACTTTTTTTTGTGAAAATGAATAAAATAATACTGAAGTGCTAAAAAGAGTAATAATTGAAGCTTTACAATAACTACAATTACGAAACTTTATTTATTCAATATTTTTTTAAATATTAAGGTGCTCAATAATTTTTGTTTTCTTTTTTATATTTTTTATAATATTCCCAATCATATATTATTTTGCGTATTCAATTTTAATATTACCAATTTTCCTTTTTCACAAATCTATGATTGTTTAAAAGTTTTATTAATATCTTATTTGAGTAATTAAAACAAATAAATTTTCCACATTTTTAAAATTAATGAACATATATAATTAATGAACTTACAATATCAAATAATAAAAGGGCATGTTGCTTAACTACAATTATCTGAAAATGTAAAAATTAGGGAAATTGTGACTCAAAAAATCTTTTTTGAAAATATCGTTAAAAATAGGTATATGCTTTAAATATTTATTCGTTCCTTTACATTATATATTTTTTTAATATTCTATATAGGTTTTTATGTTTTATGCAATTATATTGCTGCATTGTCTTTTTTCTCTTTAATGTGCATAGTTTTCCTCACATTTTCTTGACAATAGTTTTGGCTTTTCGATAAATAGGATAAAGTTCTCACTATATTTAATTAAAACTTCAAATTCAATTATGCATTTACTGTACTTAACTGAACAATTTATAAGAAATGAAGTTATCCATTTAAGAATATAGTGTGCTGTACAATTGCTGTCAAATTCTCATTCCAGTTGCTTCTAAAATTTTATGACTTGTCCTTGTTTAAATCTTGAAGTTTTTTGTTTTAATCATAATAAAAACTTAACATTTTGTCTTTGAAATAAAAACGTCGCAATTTCTTCTTTCTCATAAGCATTTTAATTTTATGTAAAAGTTGAAAACAAAATATTTTTAGTGGTTTTTGTGAATTATTTTGCTGTTGCTATTAATTATTTTGACTGATTTTTTTAAAAATTTAATTAATGACTATTCTAAAGTTAAGTTTTTTTCCCTAGATTTATTGAAATAATTCAATTCCAAACATTACTGTTTGGTTCCCTTTTGATAACCTGTTAAATATACATCAATTCTTAATCAACAACTCTCGATTTTAAATTGTGAAACAATATAACAAAACATTAATGCTCCAATCATTTTATTAGTTTACAAGTATTATAATTTTACTTGTACATTTAAGCCGATGCTACAGCTACAGCAGCAGGCCTAAGACCTTGGGCAACAGCAGCGGGAGGTGGAAGTTCCACTATATAGACAGCATCTCCAACAGTGTGGCTTGAGAGTCCTGGTTCATTGCTGTGGATGACTGCTTTGTACCCATCGGCTCCAGCAGTATACTCAACTCTTCTGTAGACTCCAATGGGATCCAGGTATCCGTAATTACCCTTGACTACTCCAGTACCATCGGCAACTTCACGACGATGTTGAGTCATGCCCTGACCATCTCCAAATTCATATCCATATTCATAGGGCCTAGGAATTTCTGGAGCTGCCAGAACTGGAACTTGACCTGGACGCATTCCAGGAAGTATTGCTGGACCAGCTAAGGCATAGCAGACAAAAGTAAGAAGAAGTGCTACAGAGAGAAGAGACATCGTAAGATGTGATACTGCAATCGAGAACGATTGGAACTTTTTGAGTTGAGTGTGTGAAGATCGTGGTTCTCGTACGCTTTTATAGCAGACTTTGTGCAAGGCGAGGCATGATGTAACCACTGAGCCAAATAAACTCATAATTTTTTAATAACTAAAACCGTACGCTTTTGTGAAATGTTAACCTTCAAGTTCAAAAAGGAACTCTTAAAATCCGCTTTGAAATGGAAACATACACCATGAGAGCGTAACATTAGGGCGTGGCTGAATTATTTCTTTGAAATCCTTCGAATTCAGTGCTTTTAAGAAATGCATGTCCCACCTTTAGAAAGCATTCGTTGTTCGTAAATTATGTGAATGTGCGATGATGCAAATGAAGGTATTCTTTCTCTGTGTTAAATGTCGCACGAGACGGCGAAATCCATTTCGTAGAAATTTCGCCATATGAAGATGTTTCTGGAAAATGCGCCAAATTTTATGGTATTGCTCATTAATGCGATTGCATGAAGTTTATTCTTTCTGTAAGGCGTTTCATCTGTTGGAAATGTGTCTCTGAAAAATGGTTTGTTATGATTTTCAGAAGCAGTAAATTGTTGCGATTTGTTTTCGATTTTAATAGATTAAGATAATGGAATTTAAAAGGAAGGAATATATTTTTGTAAGTTGATTCATATAAACTGCTGAATAGTGAACATGAATGATTTCAAAGCGATTATTTCAATCAATTTTTCATGCAATATTGATATTTTAAGTTTATAAATATGCTTATTTTGGTTAATTTCTTTAAACGATAAAAAAAGTCTAATTTTAAATTTAAAAATGTAATTTTTTTTAGTACTAATATGGCAGTTTGATTATTTTCAATATCGTTATGATTACTTATATTTTATATTTATAAATGTTATTTTAAAAATAAGAAAAACAGCGTGGTCAGAATTACCAGAATAATTTAAAATTTACCATGTTTCTGGCTTTATGGAAAAATCTAAAAGCTTGGTAATTTTTACCGAAACACTTTAGTAATGCGTTTGGTAAAATTAATACAAAAAAATTGCCTTTTAATATCTGATTAAATTTGGTAAATAGGATAAAACTTGCCAATTTTATCATGATACATTAAAGCATGGCACAAAAACCGTTTATATGGTTAAATTTACTTTTTAGTTTTGTATTTTTTACTAAATGTATGGTAAAAAGAACGATAATTTTGAAAATACGGATAATAGTTACCACATGAATGAAAAAATTTCAAAATGAATGGTTTAAATACGTATGCATATCTTGATTTCTATTAATCGTAAGTATGAGTTTTATGATTATGACATTACTATACAGTGTGGTAATTTTGCCAGAATTTGTTTATCCGTGTATAATTTTGAATCATTGAATATGTTTATGTACTTCGTATACATAATAACTTTTTAAAATTTAATAAAAGATTTGAAGTCGTATTTATACAAATTTGTCAAAATGCTTAGTTTTTTAATTTATAGGCTTAATGTATAGTTTTGCATTGCTTATACAAAATCTTTCTTTAAACTATTTTTTATTTGTTATAATGATATCGTTATTGTGGAGATTTTACATTTTATATAATATTTTCAAGCTTTTCGAAATATTTAAATATTTTACTATTTAGGGAAATTTATCTATCTATCTATCTATCTATCTATATCTATATCTATCTATCTATCTATCTATATATCTATATATATATATATATATATATCTATATATCTATATATATATATAGTGGCCGCATCGTCTTTATTCGAGAGGGTGGATTTTCGCTTTGAGAAATTGTAGTCCGCATGCTGTGTAATGCCGCANTATATATATATAATTAATACAGTATATTAGTTAAGCATTTTTATTTTGAATTTTTTTATGAATATATTTGAACTGTAATGTACTTTTGATAGCTCAAAAGAAATTATCTCACCACTTTCTTGAATATTCAGGATTTGAGTTTCAATTAAATGTTATCTGAAGTATGATAATTTAAAATTTTCCTAAGACAATGTCTATAAGTAGTTTCAATATTCGTCAAAAGAAACAATATAGGTTAAAAATATAATTTTATGCATTCAAAAAGGAAAAAAATATTTTTCTTTTACTATTCTGTAAAATATAACGAATTCACTGAGAAGAAATTATAGTAAAAACTACCAGAATATTTTAAAATTTGTTTTTTTTTCTGACTTCTTGGAACATCAAAAATCTACATAATTCATGCCAAAGTGCTATGGAAATGATTTTGGAAAGGTTAAAAATAAAATATTGTTATTGTAAAATTTTGTAAATGTGGTGCAATTTGGTAATTTTCTAATGATACCTCAAAGCAGCAGTTCTTTTTAGCGAAGGGGTTCCGTAGAAATTGGAAACCGCTGTCTTAGAGCATGGTATGAAATCCAATTATTAGGTGAATTTTAATTTCCTGTTTCGTGTTTGTTTACTAAGTGTGTGGCAATAAGAAATATAATTTTGAAAACCAGAATTTCCGAAAAAATTACCAAAAGAATTGTTTAAATACCTTATACTTAGGTTTTTATTACTCAAGTTATGTTTTTTTTTTCTACCAGAAATGTCACGACCTTACAGAACGGTAATTTCACGAAATCTTTTTTCTCCGTTTTGAAAATAATATTCAGTAACTGAGTTATTTTTTTAAGTTAAGGACACACAATTTAAATTTATTTTAAAATGTTGGTTACTGGAATAATGTTACTATAAAATAAAAAAAATAATGCATTCCCAACTTTCTTTTTTGTAGGTATAAGGTCAGGTTGTCATAAGGCGAAAATTTTTAAAGTTTTTACGTAAAACATTCATAACATTGAATTCATTAGTTCAATAGATTTGGGTTTGTTTTTATTTGATTTAGAGTAAAAAATACACTAGAAACAATATGTAATTTGTCTAGAATATTTAAATATTTTTTTTATTTTTAATCTTTAATCTAATTTTTTTCTTCATTTTTTTAGAAATTTTTCAATCAAAAAAGTGGTGTTTTCTCAAAAATGTAATCTTTTTTAAACTTTAATTCTCCAAACAAAAAGGTAAAATCTCCAAACAAATGGATGCTCCATAAACAATTAAAATTCATTTCTTGCCATTCTGCGCTTAATGTGATAAAAGTAATCAAAAGTTCTTACAGATTGGTCTAAGTGTTAGGAAAAAAATATTTTATCGCTTTTTTTCCCCCTGAAACAAAAACTATTTTAAGTTTAAATGCATGCTTGAATTTGTTAATGTGTTAAATTTGTGTTAAAGTATTAATGTATTAAAAGTGTTCTTCCATTTTCTACGGTTTTAAAAATTTGTTTTAATTTAAATACGTTTGTGAATTCATTGAGGTGTTAAATTTGTGTAAAAGTATTAACGTGATAAATATGGGTTTAAATTTAAAGTGTTGAAATGTGTGTTTAAATTAAAATATAATCATATTTNTTTTAAACCTATTGATTTCTGTTTGAAGTTGTTAATGTGTAAAATTTGTTCTTTTAATTAAATTCGTGTGAAAATTAACATGTTAAGTTGCGCTAAAGTGTTAACGTGTTATATTTATGTTGAACTTCGTTAACGTGTTGAATTAGTGCTTTATTTTCATTAAGTTTTCAAATTATTTTTAATTATTAAAATTTAAACTTTTTTTTAAATTTTATGTTTAAAATTTTATATTTAAATTTTATATTTAAATTTTTTATTTAAATTTTATATTTAAAATTTATATTTAAATTTTATATTAAAATTTTATATTTAAATTTTATATTTAAATTTTATATTTAAACTTTATATTTAAATTTTATATTTAAATTTCATATTTAAATTTTATATTTATATCTGTTAATGTTGTTTCTTTCTTTATATAAATTTTTGTTAAATTTTGTCAGCAAGTTAAAATTTTTGATAAAATTTAAATACGTGATTAAAATTGTTAACAAGTTAAATTAGTATTGTAGTATAAATGCGTTTTTCAAATTTTTTAGCAAATTAAACGAACGATGAAATTTAAATGCGTGAAGAAATTTGCGACATTTTTTGCTCCCAAACAATTTTACCCTGAGTTACTTTAAGAACGTTAAACGACAGAAACAATCAATAATCTTTAATTTGTATTGATTTATTTGAGGAAATCCCACGTTCTATTTCTAGTCTCACCGACCTCCGGAAATTCAGAAGCAGAGAATGCTGTATCCTGTGACATTACAATGAACCCCAAGTAAGAACCCTGATTTCTTTTTACCCCAATAGAGTGACTTGCCCCCCTTGAAGGACGACTAACACTTATTTTGCATCCTGGCCCCTTACCACCTTGTTGCACTTGATGATTCCGGAAGTTCGATGAACCTGTAAGGGCATTCCGACATCCCCTCATCTCACTTTCGTCCCCATTTTAGAATAGGAATACTATATTTGAAGGAAGAAATCAGTTTATATATATATGTATGTATATA